AAAGACACAGACTGCAAAACTCTCAAAAAACGGAATCCAACAGTCTGTTTCATATAAGAAATTCATCTAATCCAAAAAGATATTCATCATAGTAGTGATTTTAACACCCTGTTTTTACAGAGGTAAATAACTAAATAGATATATAACTAAACAAATATCCAATAAAGAAATTTCAGTGCTGAACCACACCTTTGAACAAATGGACTTACTGGATATATAGAGAGTATTCTACCCCTCTATAGTAGATTATACATTCTTTTCAGCAGCACATGGTTCTTTTTCCAAAAATAGATCACACACTAGTTTACAAAGCATGCTTCAATAAATATAAAAGAACTGAAAATCACTTTATGCATATTATCAGACCACCGTACAATGAAAATAAAATTTAACAACAGAAGAAATTTCAGAAAAGACAAAAGCTGGGCCGGTGAGATAGCTCAGCAGTCTAAAGCGCCTGCTTAGGCAACCTTAGGCAAAGTGTAGGACTGCTGTTCACTCCCCGGCACCACATACTGTGCCAGCCCTGCCTAAGCTGAGCTGGCCACAGAAAAGAAAGGAGAGAGAGAGAGAGAGAGAGAGAGAGAGAGAGAGAGAGAGAGAACAAAGGCTAAGAAGTGTGCCTTCCAAGTCCCATCAATTCTTCAGACAACTATAACCCCAGGTGCCATCCTAACTGCAACCTCATGAGATAGCTCATGTCAGAGGCATTCATCTCTGCTGCTCTCAGATTCTTAACCTACAGAAACAGTAATAAAATAATTGTCATTTTAAGTATGTATATTTGAGGGTAATTTGTTACTCAGCCATAAATAACTACTACACATATCATTGAGGTATTATTCCTTACATTTGATATCAGCCAGAGAAAGGAATAGGGACATGGGTATGCTCATACATTGATACTGGAAATAAAAAATAAAAATAGTTCAGCTCTTATGGGGCTCTTGGTACTTCTTAAAAAATTGAAAAAGTTTTAATCTTTGGCCACACAATTATATTCAAGAGAACTTGTCCTACAAACATATAATGTAAAAACAAATATGTCAAGAGCACGCGAGGACAAGCCATAGGCTCAGAGAAAATATTTTCAAATTATCTATAACAGATGGGCAATACTCACACACCCAAAATAATACGAAACACACACAGGGAAAACTCTTAAAACTGAACAAAAGGAGCCAGGGAGATGGCTTAATAGAATAAGCACTTCCCTGGAAAGCGCAAGGGCCTGAGGTCAGTTTCCGGTTCAGCCAAAAAAAAGAAAAAAGAAAAAACTGAGCAAGAACATGAACAAGGGCCCAATTTTAAAAATAGGCAAAAGACCTGAACAGATACCTCACCAAAGAAGACACACAGATGACAAAGAAACATATGAAAAAAATACTCAACATCATATATCATTTAGGGAATTATAAATTAAAATGAGATACTGCTATACACCTATTAGAAGGGCCAGATCCAAAACACTGACAACATCTAATGCTCGTGGGAATGTGGAGCAACAGAAAGTCTCACTGTCATTGCTGGTAGAAATGCAAAGTGATATAATAATTTTGGAAAACAGTTTGGTGGTTTTTACACAACTAAACATACTCTTATTATAAAGTCTAGTAATAATGCTTCTTTTACTCAAAAGAGTTGAACACTTTTGTCCACACAAAAAGCTGCACACAAATAATATTATTATGTGTCCAGCTTTATTCATCACTGTCCAAACCTGAAACAGAAATTTTTTCAGGGCCGGGGAGATAGCTCAGCTGCATAAGCATCTGCCTGACAAGCACAGGGTCCTGAGTGTGATCCCCAGTACCAAAAAAAAAAGTTCAATAGATGAAGGGAGAAGATGGCACAGCACCTTTTTCATATTCTATTGACTAAAAGCAAATCATAAGATGTGTCTGCACTAATGGAGAAGACATTATAAAGGAATGACTACTAAGTAGCAGAAATCAGTGTCACCATTGAGCCCGCACATCTTAAAGTGTACAACCATTGTAAATGGTTGATAATTCTCAATGTGTATTCAATCTATAGATTCTCCTCTTTAATGGCTTTTCTTGCTTTTTATTTTTTGCTGCTACTACAAAACCCAAGCCATTTCCCCTGCAGTTTCCTGGTCGGAATTTTGTTTATTACCTCTCTGTGGTGTTAAACATGTTTTTTCTATACTTTGCATTTCCTATTGAATACTGGTTATATCTAGGGGTTGATCATATAAAAATTCTATTTTCTTCCAAAGCCACTACATAGCTGGCCTACTATGGAGGCGCACATTGCCTAGTCATCTCTCTTGTAATGGTATCAACTGTTGACGATTGCTTCATACATCCATTAATTCATTAGGAGCTGGACAGTAGTGAATTCTACCATTTCTTCTTTATCTGATTACAATAAAGTACCCTTCACTTAAGGAAGTCAAGGTAAAATTCTTTTTTTCTCTAGTCAATTATCAACTAATGAGATGACTTCATAGATGTTAAACATCAGAATAGGCCAGTAAGTGAAACTCAGTTCCTTACATGTTATAACTAAAAGAGGAGACTCTAATCTCCACTGAAACAATACTTTGGGAATATTTTGTTAATTTAAATTTTCCAAAACTGAACCTTCAACAAAATAGAATTGAGGAAGAGATGGTGTGTACTCAGACACTATCTCACATTTTACAACTTACCAAAAAAGACATGTAAGCTTTTGGGTTAGGGCTTCCTCATAGTTGGTATTATTAAAAATGTCAATGCTCAGCAGCAGACCCCTCTTGACAAAAGGTATAAAAATATTACAGGACTATTTGACACCCCCATGTCGTAGGGAGCAGCTGAAACTGGAAAGTACGATTACAGGATGAAGCTAGCCCAAGAACATGGGAGTGCCTCGAAGCACGTAAACAAGCCGTTGCACCTTGTTAACTGATTGCTGGGTAGTTAGGCTGAAATTAATATCAACCTCTCAAGGGTATAAAGTTCTACCATTCTTGGATGGTTCCACTACTCTGCTTAAGAGAGAGAGGATCTCCACCTGACCCAGCTATTGTCTCTTGTCTTTTTCTCATTCTTACTAGGACTCTACTCAGGGTATATCAAAAGTCCAATGAATCCCTACACTGTGTGAGTTACTTTGGCCAAATACAGATCACTGGGTGTCCCATAAAGACTGGCATTCATTTGATTTGTGACAGAAGTGCTTATTGATGATCATCTGTACATTCAACAGGCGCTATTAACTTCTTGAACTAATGCCTGCCTTCAAAATAGTCCCTGATATTGTTGTAGCAGCTGAATTAGAAATATTATAGGCAGTCAGACAGGGCCAGGCCCTCAAGGAGACAAGATGGAAGACAAGGTGACTTTACAACTTGGAAGAGACAGACACTCCCTATAGGCCAGACTTCAAGACAAAAGAGGAAAAAATACAGCTACATACTTCCCTAGGGATGGGCACCTGGGATTGATATTCTAAATAAGTATCAACCACCTTGAAAGAGTCCAAATGAGTCACTAGCTCAACCCCCAACAGGAAGAGACCCTGTCCCGTATTAATGCCCGCTTTCTATGAGACTCGCTTCATCATTTGGTGCTAGATTTAATCAATTTTACCTGAGCGATGGTGCTTGTAACCTCTTTGGTTGACCATAGTTTTGTCCCACCTCATGCCCACCTAAGCAAGTTCCCATGTTCTCCACCACCTTAGAACCACCTCAATGCATGGTTTTACTCTATAAAAGTCCCTGGAAGAAACAGCTTCCCGGGGTCTAACTGCTGGGGACTGCCTTCTGTCCTTCTCTTGGATAGAAGCTTTCTTTCCCTCCAATAAATATATTCTGCTCATAACTTCCGTTTGTTCCTAAAATTTATTCTTTGATGTTAGAGAACATAAACTTGTCCCAGATACCTTCTAGGTCAGGAGTTGCATTTTTCCCCTATATCATTTGGAGGTCACCCACCCGAGATCAGTTTTACCCGCATCACTTTGTCACTACTGCTTTTATATAAATGAAGTCCCCAGACCCACTTTGCTCTTCCATCTATTACTGGAAATTTCCAACTGCTAAGCTGTCCTTATTACACTAAGTTAGCGCTGCATCATGTGCCCATGATGCACATAATTCACGCTCCACTCCGCCTTAGATTGCACTTGGGAGTTCTGCCTCTCCATCCTCTGGATAAGCAGAGTCTCACTGCTGTGCAAAGGCACACTTTCCTCAGACTCTGCAAGCGGTCCTTGCAGCGCCCAATGGTTTGGTTCTTTTCCTCCCTTGCCCAAGCGCAGTCTAGTCTACAGTACTCCACAATCTCAGGTATTTCTGTAAAACCAACCCTTCGTATCTTCCCATTGGCCTACCCGGGCCGCCCCAGCACTAGAGAACCAGAGGAAAGGTCGGTGCTTAAGGGTTTCATGGAGGTGCCAGCCTCATGATTAAATCCATACTCCAAACTAGTCGGGCTAAGCTTGGGTCCTTTTGCAAGATCTGAACATTATATATGTTCATACGAGCACACGCTCACTCCAAAAGTAAAATAAGTTACTCCCTATGGCTTTATGGATCCGGCGGGGACGTGCGGAAGGCTCCACCCTGAAGTGAGGCGGCATGTGGGACATCCTACGCACTGGGCAGCTTTCGCTCACTGGGCAGCTTTCTCTTAGCCCAGCATAGCGGGCGTGTTCTGCGTGTGGGCGTGGCACACAGGAATCGTCTTCGTGGTGGGAGGGGCGTCCTGGCTGGCTAAGAGGAGCGTGGGGTGGTGGAGGGTTCTACTTTGAGGGCAGGGCTTTCGCGGTGTTCTACATAGCCGGATGCTACGTGATGGGTCGTATTTTAGGTGATGTGTGGAGCGTGCAAAGCGTTCAGCGTGGTTGGTAGGGCGTGCAGGGGCGTCGTGTGGCGGGTGGGGCTCACGGAGCGCCCGTTTGAGTCCATGCTTCCTTGGGGGCGTGTCTCCTGCAGCGGTTACTGCGTGGGGTGGGGACTTGATACTGGTTTTGACTGGAGTTAAACTTGTGGTGCCAAACACCCGGATATATCGTGACTTTTTATGGTTGTGGGTATTTTGTCCATTGCCTCTTCGTGCCTCAGTTTGCCCATGTTTCATATGGCAGAGTACAGTCCCTACCTGAGCACAATGTGGAGCTTTCAGAAATAGGCTGCAAGCCCACAAAGGAGTAGTGATGGTTTTCTAAGGTGAACAATCCATCCTGGGGAAAAGGGTAGGTGTCTAGTGACAGAAATATTAACATTCTCTTGGGTGCTTAGCCCTAGGCTACGTGCTTTATTTTCTTTGGCAGATTTTATTGTCCTAACAAGATGGCAGGTGGGTACAGTTCTCCTTGTATCAGTGCCAGGAGGGTGATGCGTGAAACTTCCAGGTCCTGGGGTTTGCTGCTGACTTCTGTTTATGATATATTTGCAGCCGCTTGTTTGTGAGCCCTCTGCCTTCCAAGTACACCTGGGATGGCGCAAATGCTCCCCTGGCTGTGGACCTGTCTTGCTTGGTACTATGTCAGTTCCTGCTGTGACTGGACACTGCATGAAAATAAGACAGTTACAAAGTCTGCAGGTTTGATCATACTACAGCACTGTGGTAAGACCATAGGACATAGGCCCTTTCATGGTCTCTTTTCTTTCCTTGTTTTTTTTTTTAATATAAATGGCTTTATTTGAAGCACTACATTGCTATCAGATTACTTCACTTTTCCGAGTTAGAATAACATAATGATCTTGAAAACTATAACAAACAGCTTAACAAAGCAAAAGTATGTTAAAATGTGTGTTATTTCCTTCTACATATTTTTCCCTTTTAGAACATCAAGCCATGTTGTTATGTTGAGCTGTAGGGGACTCAGGTCAACAACTTCTGACATTGCCAGTCAAGTGGAAGACCCATCTATTGAGACTTGCTTAGATGATTGGAAATTAATATTTTTAATAATTTTATTTAGAAACAAATAGCAATGAGACAGTTTCAAAACCAATTAGTAGGACAGTTTCAATAATTAATACAGGGGGGCTGGGGAGATGGCTCAGTAGAATAAGCGCTTGCCTGGCAAATGCAAGGGTCTGCGTTCAATCCCTGGTTCCGCAAAATACTACTACTACTACTACTACTACTAATAATAATAATAATAATAATAATAATTAGTACATTGCATATTGTTGCCTTAGTAGTTATTCATTGTACAAGGTGCAGACATGATTTCCTGTCCACAAAAACTATTAGAACAAATCGTTCTATTCATTGAATTAAGAGAAAGCTATATATCTAGCCTATTTTGAATATATAGATATAAAATGATTGTTCATTAGTATCCCCTTTTTTGTTTAGTTTTCTCAGAGAAGGGTATTCCATTGTCATTTAAATATTGTAGGTACATGAATTCAGCAAAATATTCCAAAATAATTCAGTAGTCCATATTAGTAGTACGTTATCCATAGGACTGGCAATGTCAAAAGTTATTGATTCAAGCCCTTTACAGCTCAGCATATGAATATGGCTTTACTTTTTTTTTCAAAGTTTTATTGATAAACATATAGCAATGACAGTTTCAAATCAAATCGAGAGTACAGTTTCAACAAATAATACACTGCA